TTTTTTTTGGTCTTCTTTTTTGAGACAGGGTCTCACTGTGCAGCTCAGGCTGACCTTGAGCTCACTTTGTAGCCCAGGCTGGCCTTGAACTGGCAACAATCCTCCTGCCTCAGCCTCCCAGCCTCCCGAGTGCTGAGTTTACCTGCGCCACCACACCTGGCTTTTTTTTTTGCCTGCTGGCTTTTGAGACAGGATCTTGATGTGTAGTCTGGGCTGGGCTTGAACTCACTGTGTAGCCCAGGCTGCTAAAAAATCACTACGATCCTCCTGCCTCAGCCTTCTGCCTAGTTTGTAATCCTGTTAGGATACAAGCGCGCTCACCACGCCTGACAGCAAGGGCCTTTTACTTCATAAAGGTCCAACATCATGTCTTTCTGTCTTCCAGGGCAGTGTATCACTGAAAGAACTGAACGCCCGGCCTTTAGAAGTTTTCATGTGCAGTGTGCTCAAAAGACAGGGCTACGGAGAAGGCTTCCGCTGGATGGCGCAGTATATTGACTAACCTGGCCGGCCGGCTCCGCCTGCTCAGAGATTTGATCGCTCAGCGCGCAGAACTTGAATTCAATAGACTTCTGTTGGTTTTAAAATAGATATTTTTTAGAATATTAATATTATATCAACTTAATTTGAGTGAAAATTGAAAACTGATCCAAGTAAGTTTGCTAGTTTCTAATTCCATACAGATAGTTTTACAGTTTATAATCTGACATCAGCCCGGCGCCGTTTACAAAGAGCAGTTTCCCGCAGCACCTTTGAAGCACTTCGTAACCGTGTGAAAGTACAAACACAAGCCATGTTTAAAAGCTCATCATGGTAAATTCTTTATGTGCTCTTTTAAATTTTAGATCGTGTGTCCACCGCTCAAGTGCACAGTTAGCGAGGAGCTTATCTGGTGGGGTGACGCCTTCCAGTTCTCAGTAACGCCCTTCTTAGCAAACATCATGCAATAAAGCCGACTCTGACGTGTGGCCCCCTTGCTGGGCAGGTGTTTCGTTGGAGTGTGTCTTGTCTAGCCAGCACTCTGAAGCGTAGCTGTTTAATATTCCGTGGGAGAAGGCTTGAGGAAAGGAGACCCTTCAGGAGATGCAGGATTACTGTGACCCTGAGGGCTTGCGCATTGCCCGGGGCAGCTGTGGAGTCGGTGCGTTCCTAACTGGCAGAGCTGCCTTCTCAGTGCAGGCGGCTGTCCTGGTCCTGTGGGCTCAGCCCTCTGGAGCAAAGCACCCGCGCCTGCCAGGCTTTGGGAAGCCAGGCTGTTGCGTCCCTGCTGTCTCACGTTGAAGTGATCCGGCCTTACTCGTGACAGTTTGGAATCTGTGCTGCTTCACTGGGGGACGGGGGGGTGACAGGCCCCCATCTCGCCGCTTGTAGAAGTCCCGGGTCTCTGACGGTCCCGGCCCGGCCAAGCAGCAGCAGGAGCACGTGCAGTTTCATTGTGGAATCCAGAGCATCTAAGGAAAAAGAAGCAGCTTGTCCTGCGGGCGTCTCGCTCCTACCCGTAGCTCTTCTGCCTTCTTTGGCATGTGTTACTTCCTGACAGGAACAAAATGAGTCCTGATTTCTAACGTCTTTTTCCTCAGTTGCTCTCCACCAGACTTGTTTTGGGATGTAATGCTTCCTGGGCAGCAGTGTCTGAGGCCTCACTGCTACACTTACTAATAAAATGTTAGTTTTTTGTTGTTGTTTTTGTTTTTGAGACAGGGCCTTGCTGTGTAGTCCAGGCTGGCCTTGAACTTGTGATCCTCATGCCTCAGCCTCCCAAATGCTGGCGTTACAAACATGTACCACTATGTCTAGCAAAATTTTAGTTTTTAAAAAACATTATAATTTTACTTTTTTTTGGTCTGTCTTTTTGAAACAGGGTTTCTCTATGCAGTTCAGGCTGGCCTTGAATTCACTTTGTAGCCCAGGCTGGCCTTGAACTCACAGGGATCCTCCTGTCTCAGCCTCCCAAGTGCTGTGATTACAGTTATGTGCCACCATGCCGGGCCAAAAGCAACTATAATTTTAGAAGTTGAATTATTTTTCATATATCTGAAATTTCAATTCTTGTAAGATGAAATGAAGAGTAAGTGCCAAAAATGTGTTTGTTTTGTTTTTGTTTTTTTGAGACAAGGTTTCACTATGTAGCCTAGGCAGGCCTCAAACTCACAGTGATCCTCCTGCCTCAGCTTCCCAAGTCCTGGGATTACAGGAATGTGAAACCACGCCCAGCTGTCTACAGTGTATCTTTAAAGACTCTCAAGCTTAAATTTTCTCTTCTGATTATAAACCAAGCTTGTTTTCTCTTTGATTTTTTTTTTTTTTTTTAGTAGAGGGGATCAAACCCAGGGCCTTGAACGTCCTAGGCAAGCACTGTACCACTGAATTACTGTACATCTCAACCTTCTCTTCCCTTTTCTCTTCTCTTGTTTTTGGAGATAAGGTGTTGCTTTGTAGTTCAGGCTGGCCTCAAACTCAGGGCAGTCTTCCTGCCTAGCCTCCCCTGGGATTACAGGTGTATGTCCCATACCTGGCTCAGCCCTGCCTTTTTTTAAATTTTATTTTGAGAGTATGTCTCTAAATTGCCAAGGTTGGCCTTGAACTTCCGATCCTCCTGCCTCAGTTCCCCAAGTAACTGATATCACAGGTGTGTGCCACAGCAGCTAGCTTAAATCAGTGTAGTACAGCTCACCAATTCCACTGAAGTTAGACTCTGCCAAGAAGTTGTTCCAGTTTCATTCAGAATCTTTTTTTTTTGGTACCAGGACTCGAACTCACAACCTTGAGCTTGCTAGGCAGGTGCTGTGCCGCTGAGCTATGTCCCCAGTCCTAAGAACCATTTTTATATCAGAGTGAATGCTTTCCCCGACCATTGTGCAAGTGAGGGTAGCACAGTCCTGTGTCAGTAACACACCGTGTAAGAGCAGGCGCAGGCTGATGCAGATGCCTGGAAGCACCTGGTTTGCTACACTGGAAAGGTCATTATTTGGCTGTGGTTTCACTTTCAACTTCTTTCTAAATGAAAATAGCTTCTTCCACGCCTAGAAACATCTTTAGCACTAAGGAAAAAGTCACCTTAGCAGCCCGATAAGATAAAAGTGCGCATTCCAAAAGTCCTGCTGCACAGAGCGAGGCCTTCCTGAAAGCTATGCCCCATTCATCGGAGTAGCTGCCCGCCTTACCTTCAGGGACATGCCTTTCTTCCAGTATTTCCTAGGGGATTCACTGTAATACTCTATTTTGTCAGAAACTGGTATAAGGCGAAAAGCTTACTGGATTCCCTGGAGGGAAGAAGGCTTTGTGATGTTAAGTAGCTTGCTCTAGAACCTGCATTCTGGCTTCAGCATTGGGATCAAAGGAACAAAGTCACTTCCTGGGCACAGCTAAGGGGGATGTCCTCGCAGTGGTGTAAGACTCTGGCCTGAGCCTCTAGAAACTGCACTTAGCAGCGGCCCACGCTCCGGCTCCCAGGTCCCAGCCAGAGGACAGGCCATCCGCTCTGAGAAGCCCCCCAGCGCAGCTCCCGAGTCCCAGCCCCCTTCAAGAGGCCAGTGAGAACACAGGAGGAGGACGGCTCCGCGTGCGCCTGTGTGGGTATGTGCCCTGCAGTGTTGCCCGGGTAAATGTCGGGGACATAGCTTCATTCTGTGCCAAAAGATAATAAAATGTGATTAGCACTACTGCATAAAGTCAAGATTGGACTCCATATAAAGCAGCTGTGCAAAAGATGTTTTAAAATCTAAACTGAAAATACCAGGTCTCAAGCATTTTGGTTTTTTTTTTTTTTTCATTTTTTGAGATAGGGTCTTGCTATGTAGTTCAGGCTGGCCCTAAACTCACTAAGCCCAGGCTGGCCTCAAGCTCACACCAGTCATCTTCCTCAGCCTCCCAGGTGCTAGGACTCCAGGTGTGCGCCACCATGCCTGGCTCCAAGTGCACTTTTGTTTTTAAAGAGATTCTTACTTCACACCTGTCTCAGTGACTGCTGTTAATTACACTTTTGGATCATAACTGGTCAAGTTGATAGATTCCAGTTTATCTCAGTGAATTTTTAGAATAGAGATCGTTTTTAAATTGGGTAAGACATTTCCTAAAGTGTATAAAAAAGTAGTCTTAACCAGCTAGATATGGTGGCACATGCCTGTAATCTGAGCACTTGGGAGGCTGAGGCAGGTGTATTGCTGGGAGTTCAAGACCAGCTTGGGCTACATAGTGAGTTCAAGACCAGCTTGAACTACACAGTGGAATTGTCTCCACCAAAAAAACAAAAAAAAAAATTGGTTTAGTTAAATCAGTGTCTTCATGTAAGTGCCAAAGATGTGTGAATGTAGATATTAACTGTGTAGATCTAAATTTTAGTTGTGTGTGTGCTGCCATATACAAATTTACTATGGTTTACAACAGAAAAGCGGGCTCTTATTCCTTTTCCATAATTTTCAACTAGCTGCATGTCTCTGTAGTACTTTCTAGCATATAAACTATTTGTAAATCATTGAAATAGAGTGATTGCTATGAAAACGGTGTTTCTTGCCTTCTGGAAAATGATTTCATTAACCACATTCAAATCCTACCACTGGGCTGTGCAGAGCTCAGTGATAGAGCACTTGCCTAGCATGTGCGAAGCCCTGGGTTTGATCTCCAGCACTGCAAAAAAAGAAGAATCATTTTTATAAGTTGTATCATTTAAAACAGTATACTTGTAGTTGTCATTTCAGGGGAAAGGTTTACATTTTTTTCTGAAACTGCGGTGTTTCAGTCTTGTTAATCACTTACACAACTGAAGTCTCTAAGAATGTTTGCCAAGTAAAACTTGTTTTTTTTTTTTTTTTTTTTTCCGGTATCAGGAATAGAACTGACGACCTTGCTCTTGCCAGGCAGGCGGTGTGCCGCTGAACTAAATCCCCAGCCCCCGTGCCAAATAAAACTTGATCAGAATACACTGCAATTAGCCTGTATTCTCTTTAAAATTCCCTGTTGCTAAAAATGTATTGTTTGGGTCATTCTAGACATATGTAAAAATTTGGGTGGTGATTCAAAAATCTCCCCAGAAAGCATTAAAAAAAGTAGAGATTTGCAAATATTAATTCTTGAATGCAAAATTAATAGGGAATAAACGGTAGCTTATATTAAGATAAAAATAAGCAGATTTTACTGTAAGTACTTTTGTTCAGAAAAACAGTACGTTTCAATTAAGGACTAAATTAGCAAAACTACTACACATTGATGCTTCTCATTTATTTTTTTTCTTTTGAAATTTAAGTTGGTGCTTTTTATTTTATTTTTTTTTGGTTTTTCTCCGGTACCAGGAACCGAACTCACGACCTTACGCTTGCCAGGCAGGCGCTTTGCCGCTGAGCTAAATCCCCAGCCCCAAGTTGGTGCTTTTTAACAAAAAGAAAAACAAGTTCTTGGAATAAGTGACTGTGCCTCTGTATAAAGTGTTGGGATTTTGTTCAAACCATGCACCCCCCACCCCTCAGACATTCCCACCTCACACTCGGACTTAAAAGATCCTGACTATGAAGAGAATCTACAGAGCCGGTCTGTTGAAAGCACAGATCTGAACTGACTTCTGCTCATAATTTAGAACATGAGAGACCCAACATGCTCAGTGTCACTGATTGTTCAGGACTTTGACCACACTTTAAAAGAGAATCCAGAGTAATCAAAGGAAAGTAAGCAAGGTTATCCAAAGCAGACTGATTCAGGTATCCTCCTACCCCTATAGATTTTAGGGTAGAAACAGAAGTGATGTCACGCAGAATTAGTTTTGGAAGGGCTGTCCTGGAGTGCATGGATTCTTCAGCATGTATTTTAAGTGAGGGATTAGGTTTAAATACTTGGGGGTAAAAGCGGGTGACATACAGCGTTGGACATACGGGTTTTTTGTGGGGTGTTGGCATCGTCAGGTATAAAGATCACGTCAGAGTGGCCAACTTCACGTGGGTTTCTGTACTGTTCCCTGCGCTGCCCCTAATCCGGACTCTGATCGGTAGCTGCGGGAGGCACAGCCCCGAGGGTGAAGGTCACCCGCCGCACTCTAGCCGGGATAGGGGCCTGTGGCTGAACGCACATGTGCTGAGGTGGAAGTCGGCGATAAGTTGTTCATCATAACCTTGTTTGCACTTTCATAGACCACTGCTTGCACTAGGACCTTAGTGTGCATTTTAACGGTTGTTTTCGAGTATATACGGATTGTTAAGCATAATTTATATGAAGATGTTTCTGTTTGCCTTTGTGTATTTTACAAAGAACAGCTGTAATAGATGGTTAAATGTTTTTGAATTGTTTGTATGTTATTTTGATTATGTTCTATTATCTTTTCACTCCCTATGAATTTGAGTGTCAGGAATAGAAAAATAAAATGCTAACCTGATCTCTGAAGGACTGCATGTCTAGTTCTGTGGTTGTCCTGTTTGGGGGTTGGTTCGGTTTGGTGTGCAGTGTGGGGATGGAACCCATGAGCCTGCACATGCTAGGCCCAGTTCCATTTCTCCTACCTACCTCTTAATTTTCACTTTGTTTGTAAGAAGTTTCTTGGACTTCAAAAACTACAGCAGAACAGTGGTGCACTCCTGTGATCCCAGCTACTCAGAAGGATGAGGCAGGAAGATCACATCCTGGAGGCCATCCTGGGCAGCTTAGCAAGACAGGCTGTCAAACTTTAGAAAGCGCTGGGGCCATAGCTCGGTG